ATCAAAATGATGAATCAAGATCTGGTGCGTTTAGACAGATTTGATGCCGCAAATTTCACGAGATAGTAAGACAAACTCAAATTCCTTTTAACGGCCTTAAAGATCTTTTATGTGCTTGATCCAAAATTTTAACTTATTCCTGATGCAACTGACAACGACACCGAAGAAATTCGCACAGAAAAGAAGAAATGGGACAAGGACAAGCTAATATGTCGTGGCCATATACTAAATACGTTGTCCGATCGTCTCTATGATCTCTACACTAGTACTACATTGTCAAAAGAAATTTGGGAAACGCTAGAAAGAAAATATAAAGTTGAGGATGAAAGTGCCAAAAAGTTGTTAATATCTAAGTATTTTGATTTCAAGTTTTCTGATAATATACCATTGTTGCCTCAAGTACAAGAGTTACAAATAATTGTAAACAAACTGAAAGCTGTGACAATGTAACTTCCTGAAACTTTTCAAATAGGAGTAATTATTGTTAAACTCCCCGATTATAGGAAAGGATATATAAAGAAAATTCTTCACAATTTCAAAAAATTTTCTTTGGAAGATATACAAAAAATCTCCGTATTAAGGAAGAATCAAGGGCAAGATATAAAATTGAAAATTCTTAAAATGGCTCTTTGGAAGCCAATGTCATGGACAATGTGGACAACTTCAACAAAATTAAAAAGAAAGGGAAACTTTTTGGTCCTAGAAAAGATCAAGGAAAGTTCACAAATAAGGCCAAACGACCTTGCTGTGTTTGTGAAAATTCGGGACACTATACTAAAGATTGCAAGCATAGGAAACAACAAACGAAGGAAGTACAAGTGAATTCCATTGATGAGATTATTGCTACGGTAAGCCAAATCAATGCAATTCAAGACAAAGATGGGGGTTGGTGGTATGATACATGCGCTAAAATCCATGTATGTCATGATAAGTCTCTCTTCAAAACTTATCATGATATTTAAGACAATCAAGAAATATAAATGTGAAATGAAGGACGATCAAAAGTGAATAGTAAGGGAAATGTTGAATTCATTTTCATTTTGGGAAAGAAAATCACTTTGATAAATGTCTTGCATGTACCAGAAATGAATAGAAACTTAGCAAATGATGTACTTTTGGGAAAACTTGAGATTAAATCTTTTTCTGAATCTGGAAAGCTTGTACTAACCCATGATGGACACTTTGTTGGAAGGGCTATTCCACCAAAGGAATGATCAAACTATGTACCATTGAGGATAACTCAAATAAAATTAAATCTTTTCCGTATGTTATTGATTCGTTAAATTTATGGCATGGTAGATTAACACTTATAGGAGTTAATACTATGAAAAGAATGATTAAATGTGGATTAATATAATGTAATATTTACAATTTAGAAAAATGTGAAATATGTGTTAAATAAAAAATGATTAAGAAGTCACTTCATACCGTAGTAAGATCAACAAAATTACTTGAACTTGTTCATTCTAATATATGTGAATTAAACGATATGCTAACTAGAGGCTGTAATGGATATTTTATTACTTTTATTGATGATTGTTTTAGGTATACTTATATGTACTTACTAAAATATAAATATGAAGTCTTTAGTGTTTTTAAGACTTATAAAATTGAAGTTGAGAATCAATTAGAAAGAAAAGTAAAGACTTTAAGAAGTGATAGAGGTAAGAAATATTTTGCTAATGAATTTAACATGTTTTGTGAACAAAATGGAGCTTGTCATATAACAAATACGATTCCCATAAAAAAGAATAAAATTTCCCCATATGAGATACGGAAAGGTAGAAGACCAAATATCAATTATTTTAAAGTGTAAGAGTGTATTGCTTATTGTAAGAACATAGATCCTGAGAGAATCAAATTAGGTCATAGAGGTATCAAATGTGCATTTATAGGATATGCTCTCAATAGCAAAGCTACTGATTATTAAATCTTGAATCGAATATTATAATAGAATCAAGAGATGTGGAATTCTTCGAGAATATAATGGTAGCTAGGAAATCTGAAAATAATAAGGATATTCCAACCTTTAGAAGCTCACCAAAAGAAATATCCATAAGAGATGTTGAAATTGAACCTTGAAGAAGTAAAAGAACTGGAAAAGAAAAGAACTTAGGATTAGATGAATTAGATTCCCAACTTATTTTCTTTTATTTAGTAGAGTGAGATAGGAATGATATTGTAAGAACAATTCTCTTTGTTCTTCAAGTGGAAAGTGATCCCAATACTTATAAGGAGCAGGTGCAATCTAGAGATTTCATGTTCTAGAAAGAAGCAATAAACAATGAAATTGATTATATTATTTTAAATAACACTTGGGAAATAGTTGACCTACGAGTAGGTTCTAAAACTATTGGTTGCAAGTGGGTATTTAGAAAGAAATATAATTTCGATGGATCGCTTAATACCTACAAGGCTAGATTAGTAATTAAGGGTATTGTCAAAGGGAATGAATAAATTACTTTCACACTTATGTATCCGTGACTAGAATAACCTCGATTGCACTAGCATCTATTTATGGTTTACATATTTATCAAATAGACCTGAAGACGGCGTTCATAAATGGAGATCTTGAATAGGAGGTCTATATGGAACAACCAGACGAATTCGTTCTACCAGAAAATGAACATAATGTGTGCAAATTAATTAAATCCTTACATGCATTAAAGTAAGCTCCCAAAAAGTTGCATGAAAAATTTGACTCTAAAATAATATCAAATGGATTTTATCACAATTCCGTAGATAAATGCCTCTACATGAAAGTGAATGATAATAATTACTTTATTGCATCTAGATTTTGATGATATGCCGATCATTTGCAACAATATAGACGGAATCAAAGAAACAAAGGGGTTTCTATCCTCTACTTTCAAAATGAAGGATATGGGAGAAGTGGATTATCCTTGGTATCCAAGTTAAAAATGATGGTAAGAGTTTTGCATTAAGCCAATTACATTATGTTGAGAATGTGATAAATAAATTCAGACATTTGAACGTTAAATAAGCTAATACTCCTATGGATCCAAATATCAAATTGATCAAAAAGGAAGGTAGAGCAATTGCACAAATAGAATATGCAAGTACAATTGGAAGTCTTATGTACTTATCACAATGTATAAGACCTGATGTAGCATTTGTTGTAAGTAAACTAAGCGGGCTTGCTAGCAACCCGAGTTCTAAACATTGGAAAGCCATCGGTAGGGCTCTTGGTTACTTAAAGAAAATCAAAAATCTTGGGCTACAATGTACAAAGTTTCCTAAAATCATGGAAGGATATACCGACGCAAGTTGGATATCGAGTGCAGGAGAGAATAAATCCACTTCAAGTTGGATATTCACTATTGGAGGTGGTGCAATTTCTTGAAAGTCTAAGAAACAAACTTGTATTACTCATTCAACTATGGAATCGAAATTCGTAGCATTGGCCAAAACTGGAAAAGAAGCTGAGTGGCTAAGGGATATATTATATGAAATGACTTTAAATATAAATGATATTTCTTCTATACCTATCTTGTGTGATAGTCAAGTCACTCTAGCTCGAGCATATAATGAAATGTACAATGAAAAGTCTAGACATATGAGTTTAAGACATGAGTATGTAACGAAATTAATCAAGCATGGAGTAATTTCTCTTACATTTGTTAAGTCTAGTGAGAACTTAGTCAATCTATTTACCAAACCTCTTACAAAAGAGTTAGTGAGATCAATATCGAGTAAAATAGGATTAGAACTCCTCAAATAGATCCATCAATAACGGCAACCCTACAAAAAATACTAAAATTGTATATTTAGGTTCAAAGTGTAACAATAAGTTATTTGATAAGTGAATGGATTTCAATACTATTAAATGTATTAAAATAATATATTTGGAAATTAAGTGTTGGGTGTTACTGTTAGAGGGATGAGTTAAAAGAAACTCTTAAGGAAGTTCAGTACGAGGTACGAGTATTTGTAAAAGTAACAAAATACTGAAAGAACTTTACCTATATGAATTTCGAGGTGGTGCCACCTCATTAGAGAGTTTGAGTTCTCTCTCTTTAAAAGTTCAATAAAAAAAAGATTACTATAAGGCCATATTTGCACTAAGCGAGTTAGAGAAAATTGTGAAAATTTTTAACACGTGTGTGTAATTTCATCGATGTTGTCATAAAGAATGACTAGTTCAAAGAACTCTAGCTACCTAGAATTCTAATAATACCTTACGAGATTTACACTATGCATAGATTCAAATCGAAAGATGCCTAGTTCTTACGTATAAGTGTTGATGTTTGATTATGTGATTAATATAGATTTTGAACAAGTAATGGATTGTTGGAATTTGTTGTTCAAAATCATGTGAACGAATAAATTAAATTGAAGAAGAAATGGGGAAAGAAGGGGAAGGCTTTAACCCATGCGGTCGCATGGCCCCCTTCAGAGAATTGAAGGGGGGCTCTCGGCACTAACCATGTGACCGCATGGTTATAACAACTAAGTTGGGGTTAGTTTTTTTACCCTTTTTTCATTTAAAAATTGATGGTTTTTCACCCTATTTTTGCACCATTTCATGGGAACTTGTTTAAGCCTATAAATAAGTGTGTGTATATATATATATGAATTCTATCTCCATTATTCATCCAAAAAGAGAGATTTTATCACATATTCAAAACCTAAAGTTTCACTTGTTCACTTCGAAGAAATATTTTTTACTTTTTGATGTTCTTCATAAAAGACTTGTTTAATCCTACGAGCTATTTACCTAAAATCCTTAAAAAGCATTGAAAAGGAAGCAAATAATGTTTGATGACAGCGAGATTAATTTCGTATTCAAGTCTTCATTAATATTTTTATAATCTTCCCTTTTGTTGTGTTTCATTTGACATTTTTCCTGCTCCATTGCCAGATTTTTCCAACATAAACAAGTTTCAGGATTAGAGATGCAACTTCTTCTTTTCATCATTATTTTTGTCAAGTTACTTATTTTCTATTATTGCTTTAGGAAAAGCTCTTGGAACAATTCCTTTAAGGAATTCCAGCTGCTGATTCTTGATATCTTGGTCTGAAAACAATGAAGAGAATGATCTCAAAAGCATGTTCCAGCAACTGTAAAAATGTCCTGTGGAAATTGACACACTAACTAAAATTCTTAAAATAAAATCACACTTGAAAAACTAATAAATACACCCAACTAAAACTAGGCATTTACACGTAACGACACCTTTGGACAGAAAATCCGGATTTCAAAGGTCGTCATCAACTTTCATCACAGTTCCATCTGGAGGTTGGAACACAGCTCAAATAACGACACCAGTGGCAACGGTCATATCCGTTCACTCCTCGAAACAGCATCACTAGCCCTACCGTAAACCTGCATTTAGAGAGATGGCAACTTAGAACGTTTAATAAGATCAACAGTCGATCAAACTTTTATTACGAGGAGTTCAAATCGCTAATACAAAACCAAAAGGACCTAATTTCCTGCAGTTCAATGAAAAGAAAAGGAGGCGATAACTCTTCTAACTGGCAGTTTCAACCGTCCACCACAGGTTTTAAATATGATATTTACAGTAGTAACGATAAGGAAAGACTTACCCTGCAATCAGTAGTATAAGAGACAACACCCAAAAGACATACTGATAAGCTTTGTATTTGGATTTGACACGTACACCTTCCGGAAGATTCTGGCGATCTATCCACCCAAACTGAGGATGGGGTAATAGAACGAAACCTAGAAGGAAACCCGTCAAAAATCCACCTATATGAGCAAAATTATCAACATGCGGAAGAATTCCAACGGCTAAGTTTATGGCAACTATCACCAAAAGTGTCAACAGTGCAGCAATCTGAGAGCCAAATAAAACAAATCAATTAAGAGCACGGTTCACATGAACATAGAGAGAATTTACTACGCATGCCAGTTACTTTTAAGTAAATTTCTTTTGCCATATTTGATCTGGAAGTTACTTTTTCGGGGGAGACTTTTTTGTTCAATTTAAGAAGTTATTACTCACTCTTAACAAAAAGTAACAAAAAATTCTTGTTAGTTTTTGTTAAGCTTAGCCAAACATGCTTGTGAAGTAAAAATAAAAGATAAGATGGGAGAAAAATAAGCAGGCATCACCCGCCTTGTTTGTATATATAGTCCAGTTTGTAATCAACTCAGAAAGCATTGCTCCAAGAAGCCCAAAAAGTGCGCCAGAGGCCCCAACAGAGATGTAGTTTTGAATAAACAAGGAGGAGAGTATGCTACCACCAAATCCCGATAACAAATAGATAGTTCCAATGCGCACTGCCAAATAACAAGACAATTTGAGCAGGTTTTAAAGGACAACAAACACTAAAGTCAAGCAAAAAAATGCCAATTCATAGAGATAGATGTTTCAGGGTGAGAGCTCCCACCAAAGCCAAAATGCTGCTCAAGGCGGATGCCGATGAAGATGAGACTCAACATATTTGCAAGCAGATGTATAATACCAGCATGTAGCCACATACATGAGACGAGCCTCCACTCTTGATGCTGTTGCACCACCTTAGTCCAGTTAAGAGCACCTAACTTCTCCAATCTTCGGTAATAAGAAAAGCAAGATTGCAATATAATTAGCTCCTATAAAATGTGTATATAACTTCTATTTATTTATTTAGGATTACTAATTGATACAGTTACCCTGGAATCACTATCCAATTTCAAACAAAAAAAGGGAAATCGGAGTAAAGCCAAAATTCATCCCAAAAAAATCAAAGAGTAATGCTACTTGTATATAATCTTGTACAGATTGATTTACACATTAATGATGTAGATAGTATTAACTAACTTTATTTTATTTCATTCTCTTGGTTTTTTTTTGTTTTTTTTTTTTCAACATCAATATGTAAATCAATTTGTACACAATTATGTATAAATAGCATTACTCTAAATCAAAATACAACAACCATGGGTATACTAAGATGGTACCAATTCAGATTAATTTAGGAAAAGAAGCAGGGATCATATATTCGTAAATACAGTAGAAGAATACCCTAATGCATAAATTCAAATACCACAGCAGACAAAGACAGACTCCTAAAAAAATAAGGACGCAAGCATTGTAATAAAAAACTACTTAATCTTAGTTACATCAGATCCCAACAGCAGCAACGACTTAATATATGTAATTAATAGATTAGAAATTCTTCTCCTTTTACACTTGCTCTTGCAATCTCAGTTCATTGTTATCACGTATTGTTCAACTTGATGTCACCTGCAGATTTTTCCGTCATTTTACGAGCCTAAAAATGACTAAAAAGGATTTAAGCCAATAAATTTTGAATTCATAACATTTTAAGGCCTCCCAACGAAATTATTATTAAATAACAAAAGGTAGTCCATTCACGACGTGCGCAAAAACAAAACCAAACCAAAACAAACTAAAACCACTTCAAATTTCTTTTAAGAATCAAATGCATATCTTTTGCATACACTATAGGGTAAAGAATCAATTTTTAAGCTAGAAAAAACCCAATTCTCAGCAAATAAAACAAGCCCTTGATCAATTTAACTAAAAATTCTCCTAAAAACAAGAAACTAAATACAATTCACATTTACTGAGCACCAAAAAAGGCAAAAACAGGCAGTACTAAAAATTAAGCACAAAAATGAAACTAAAAGGAGAATGTCCTTAACTAATCCAACAAAATTTTATCCTCAAAAAGAAATTAAACAATACCTCACATAATATTGCACAAACTAAAGACTAAGGACTCAACTTTTACACCAGAAACCTCAAATTCATATTCACAATAAAGAAAAGGGTAGAAGTAAACTTATCCTCACGTGGAAGAAGAAGGCCCAAACAGAGGATTCTCCCTCAAGGGCTGGAAAGAAAACCTCCCAAGAAACCTCGCCACACATTTTCTTTCATCAATAGGAACAAACCCCCGATTCTTTACATGTTTTGGGCAATTATTCACATACATCTCGACCACAAACATCGCAATATTAGCCACAACAAAAAGTGGGATCAGCCATGATGTCCATTGGGTCTCTCTATCTTCAACTGAATAGGCTACTGATGAATTATTATTTCTTCTCCTAATTTTCTCTCCGCTGCTTTCTAAATCCTCCGATGGCAAGGCCATGGCTATGGATAAACTTTTTTGCTCTCTTTCTTTTTGCTGTCACTTTCTGTTTAAAAGAATTTCAGGTGAAAATTCTTGAATCCATTGCGTATTTAAATGGGATCGTGTGAAGATAATGGCATATAAAGTGGGTTTAATGGGAGCAACGGTTCATTTTGTTGAGAGAGAAACAGGGGAGCTGTTCAACTCTGTCCGCAACGAAGGTTTGATCCTCCATTAACGCATTCACAATATTATTATATGCCTCAGATGATTCCCAAAAGGAAAATTTCAGGAAGAAGTGGATGATGATGTGGCTAGTTTTGATTGAATATTTTATGTGATCAAATACGATGTGTATCCACTGGATCAGAGCCAGAGCCGGTGCTTTAAGTACGGGGTCCAGGACTGGGAGTTTCTTATTTTTGGCGGTTACTGTCAAACCGATGAAGAGGAGGGCTAGAAGAGGTTTTTATTTTTATTTTTATTTTGGTTATTTTTTATTTTTTGCCCTTTTCTTTGCCAATATTCTTTTTCTTTATTTTTTTTTCTTTGAGCTCTTTCTTAATTTAATGAAGAATAATCTCAAGTTTAATCAAACTGCATCAACCGAACCTCGTTCACCAATAGCGAAGTTAGAGCATGCGTCGATATTTTAATCATTTTTCATTATATCAACTAAAATTCATTTGTCTCCCATCTTGAAATTCCTTTATTACGTGGTACATATATGGATTGCCGTGAAATATTAAATTATTACTTATAAGTACACGTTGAGAATAAAATATTTCTAGTTCTAATGAGCTCAAAGGAATGCATATTTAAAAAAAAAAAAAAAAAAAAAAAAAAAAAAAAAAGAGTTTTAACAGTCCTTTTACATTTTCTCTAATATATTGGATAAATTAGTCCTTATCTAAGGACAAATAGATCGCTTCAAAATCTGGTGGGACCGATATGGAGTCTTAAATAATGTTGTCATAGTAGACGAGTTTAGTTGTTAAGAGATAATAGAAGGGATGTCCCTAATCTTTATCCATTTTGCATTTTGGTCCTCAAGCTTCCAAAATGGTTACCTTGATATTTATTTGACATGCCAAATCTTTGTGAAGAAGTACAATGTACTCCCTTCTTTAAATAAATAACAAAACAAAGGAGAATAAGGCAAGAAAAAAAAAATTAAGTCACCCTTTGACCCTCATTTTCTAAAATTCTTTTTTTTTTTTGTCAAATTTATTTCAATCACATATTTCATGGAGCCTATAATTTTTAGAAACTTTTATATAAATATTCTTAAAAACTGATTTTTAGCTAAACCTAAATAAAGGTAACCCAACCACTTAATGACACCACCACAAACCCTACTCTTTCGCCACTACATCTCGTGACCTCTGTTGGAATCTTTTATTTTCACAGGTAAAAGTAATCACTTCTTATGGAATCTTACTAGAAAATAGCCACAATGATCTCGCGGATTGATTGGCAGCCATGGAATCCTCAACGTCTTTCTAGAAATTATACACCCAAATTAAACTTGATAGCTATCAAGTATCTTCAACCAATTTGCAGAAACCTGAGGATGTTAAATATTTTATCTATGAAAGTTGGCAACCAAAGTGCTATTGAAGACCTCCATGGCTATTCCCATATTTTTAAATGCTTTAAACTTTCACCAAATCTTGATTGAGTTATTGTTTAAATTCTGATTTGATATAGGGGTAACTTATTCAAGGTATATAGAGATTAATACCTTCAATGTAATTATATATTATTATTACCAACTAATTTTATTTGTCTCACTGCTATATTTGTAACTACCGGTAGACAAAATGTCCAGACCAAACCAAACCAAATCAAATGAAAACCGAACAAAATCAAGAGGTTCGGTTCGATTTTATAAAAAAGTTAATGATTTTAGTTTTTCGAACTGAGAACCATCGCTACTAAAATAAAGCTTTTCACCTACGGAAAATTACCAACGAATGCAATCCGTTGGTAATTAGAAACGGATTATCCGTTGATAAAAGTTATTCACTTGTAGCTACGATAATCAGCAACAAATTTTTTGTTGGTAACGATGATATCTCTTTACCAACAGATATTCCATGCCTTGTGTAACCGTTTAACATTTGGATCTTTCACCTACGGATATTCCCTAAGTGACATACCGAATATTACAAATGGATGCAATTTGTTAGTAATTAGAAACGAATTATCCGTTTGTAAAAGTAATTCACTTTCAACTACGATAACTAGCAACAGATTTTCCATTGGTAACGATGATATTTCTTTACTAACGGATATTCTGTACCTCATGTAATCGTTTAACATTTGGATTTTTCACCTACGGATATTCCATTGGTAATTAGAAACGGATTATCCGTCTGTAAAAGTAATTCACTTATCCCATATTGAAAGTTCACAACAAAGTCTTCGGAGTTGCCTTCTATAAATTAATTTGTAGTCCAATAAGTGGTTAAGCAATATTTTGGCCTTTCAATTCGGTTGCCTAAGAGTTAATAATAACAATAAGAAAAAAATAAATATTTTCTTTTTACCATACCTCACACCAATGCGGCTATTTATAACATTGATTTTTATCAATGGTAATGGTAGACATTTACTAACGGAACGTCGGTTGATATTGATTAAGATTTTTACCAACGGAAATTTGTTGGTAAAAGATTTACTTTTTACCTACGGTAAGATCCATTGATAACTATCAGCGAACCTCAAACTAGTAACAGATTTGCGGTTGCAAATATTCCGTTGGTAAAGAGTAATCACAACAGATATTGAGATTTCAGGAACAAAAAATCTGTGCTTGAAATCATGTTTTTTAGTAGTGCATTTGGTTCTGGTTTTGGTTCGATTCTAATTTTAGAACCAAGAGCCAGAACCAATTTAATTTTTTAGTGTTTAAAAACTTTCAATTGGTAGAATGCAGCATGTCGAACACACGGATAATAGATATTAGGAATAATGCTTATGGTGTGCAGTCACATGTGATAATTCGATAATTGAATGTGTGCTTTGCATATGAACTCAGACTAGGAATAGAATCAGATCATGTTAAGTATATGTTTGAAATATCTTTAAAAAGAGTATCAGATATAAATTGATTATTGATCATCGCTAATAAGTTAACCACACTAAGTAACATAAGTCGAGAATTAGAACTAGACATCAATTCGTAGAGTCGAAAATCCAATATTTTTATCTCATATGTGACAAAAAAACACATCTTCATAGCTTTTGTAGTTAATAGAATAATTATAGCAATCAAATCAATTTTTATGTTACAATAGATGGAACTTGGTAAACACTAGTATACTAAACTTGAACGTTGCCTCGTGGGATGATATTTGTAGCTCACTACATATTATTTATCAACGATCCTGTACATTTGCGAGATTTTTTCGAACAAATTTTTGGCACCCGTTGTCGGGAATGATGTGTACATTGAAACTATATATTAAAGTAGAGCTGTAAAAAAATTATATATTGAGTTATTGATAATTGTCTATGTAAAACTTGATCTTTATTGAGCATTATATTCATGTTTTGTATTATGAGTTCATGACTTGATTCATATTAGGAGAAAGTTGAACATAGTTGATGAGAATCTAGAAAATCACGAATACATATATACCCATAAAACTTCCTTTAGGAGAGTTTGGAGATGATTGAACTAGTATAGGGGAACATTAAGATAATAAGAATTCAACACGTAAAATTGTTGTGTGGATTATTTAGAGTCAACAAAATGAAACGAGACGAAAATCTTAATTTAGAGATCAATTTCAAGAATAAGTGTTTAACAAGGGGCATTGCACTAATCTTGACAATTAAAAAAAAGTAAAAAATGCTTAATTGTCGAACTTCCCTTCGAAGCCTTTTTTATTCAAGCAATTAAGCCTGTAAGGGTTTTTAAAACCTGATGTCCTATGCTCATTTGACTTGGGATTCATCGGCTAAAAACTCGCTACAGTGTCACTTAGTCGCTTGATGGAGAGAAGTCAAAAAAATTGAATGGTGAAAAAGGCAGAATAAGCAAAGATGCACCAAATGTCAAGATTAAGTCCCAAACACTTATATTAGAGGAATTGGACATATGACGAAGGGTTATTAGTTGAATTGAGTCTTGAAGGCCGAAGTGATCATAAAAATAGGAAATTTTTGTTCATTGAAATGTTAACTTGAACTAACAACAAAAATCTATCTGAACTAGAGAGGATGAGGATTAGAATCAACTAAAAATCAACTTAAGTGCACACATTGGGAAAAGTGAACGATGCATAAATTTGGAGGTGTGTATCTTACGAGTGAAGAAATGAAATATTTGACTATTGCAGGTCAGGAATCAAACCAATCACGAAATTGATGTGTACATGAATATTCACACACACTTTAAGTTTTGTACTTAATAAGTAGAAATTAATTTCAATTGTGTAATATAGACACTGTTCCTAACATTGATACAAAATATCCAATCTTGAGACTAACAACATACCATCCAACCAAGGTTGAATTGGGTTATGCTTTAGTTTGTTTGAAGACAAACAAAGCTTCAAGTTTAGGTGTGTTTAATAAGTGTCTTTTATACACTTACTTAGGCTGTTAAATTTGATTATTTGTTCATGAATTGTATGAACAATGCTTATGCTTATATATATATATATATATAAAAGAAGGAAAAGTAAGGAAAATAAGCCAGAAAAATGGCTCATCGAATCAAATACAAAATTCGAGGATTAAAATGCAATAATTCAAACGTTGGGTTGGATTACAAAACGATGATTTGAGAATGTCAAGAGTAAACTGAAGAAAAGTCAACCAAATAAGAAATTTTGGAAAATGATCAAAATACACACGTGAGGAAGTTCAGAGACCAATTCAAAATTTGCACCATGCCTTGCGTATGCAGGGTCACAAAACCCCGCTAAATCACGTATATTGTGTTTACGTTTACCTTGAATCAATTGTACGCATTGTTCAATTTCAGGAAGAAAATTTTGTTTTGAAAACTTTAGGTATAAAATCTTTTCACTTTATATGTATGGGGGCCATCCAAAACGTGGAAAAAAATTATCTATCATCATATTGAGAGCACAAAGGAGATTTTACATTGAATATTCAAGAAATTCATCGTTTAGGTTGAAGATTAAAGTGAAGAATTGGAGCTTTCAAACTCTTCACCATATTCCTTGTCTAAGATGATGTATTTTCTTATTCTTTTATGTAATTTTCATATGGCTATGCTAGGCTAAACAACTTATGTATTGGATGGATGACAAAGCTCATTGATTTGTAGTTTTAATTCAAGGGTTATTATTATTTTAGTTGATTCTCATGTTTGTGGTTTGATATGCATTAAGGTTGTTTGAATATTTGCGC